AGTTCTACAAAAACTGCGCCAGTAATTTTGATTTGCAAGCAGCCCACGAATTTTCTTCCCGGTGATGGATGAAAAAGACAGTCTTATCTGTGTTGATGGTGCATCTGACCCTAGCCGCCGTCGAAGTGAGAACCGTCGTCGTGGGTCGCAACTCAACCCATTGTGTGCAAACAACTCACAGTTGTTGACAAACGTTAAAATCCGAATGGCTGTCGTACGCACTCAGGTGCTCTCTACGAAACGATGTATGCCCGGCAACCCAACATCAATACACATTATTAGTGAAACTGTGGGAGCAGGGAACTGTCCTAACCGACTGGGACCGTTCCGTTATTATCCCGATCTTCAAAGGAGGCTCGCGTTCTGAATGCGGCAACCACAGAGGAATCAGTCTGATCCCGTCGCCTCCAAATTACTTGCCTCTGTCATGCTTCACAGACTTACTGGCACTCATGAAAGCCAGGTTCGTGAGGAGGAAGTCGGGTTTCGTCGTGGTCGTGGCTTCATTGACCACATCTTCACTTTGCGTAAGTTGTTGGTGCAGCATCATATATATTGACGGCCCACCGTTGTCGTGTTCCTCGATATCAAAGGTGCATTCGATTCGGTGGATAAACGTGCATTTTGGGACTGTCTACTCAGGAAAGGTGTACGTGAGAAATATGTAAATATTATCTGAGCATTATACGCGCGTAGCTCAGGCAAAGTGAGGGCTCATGGCAAGCTGCTGTCGTCCTTTAATATCACCGGCTGTGTGAGACAAGGATGCCCGCTATTACTTTTCCTCTTCAATTTCGCTATTGACGAAGTCATGAAAATTGCGTTTACAGGACACGACTTAGCTAGTGTGGATCTGCTCCCAGCAGAACGACTACTTGACTTGGAGTATGCTGACCATATTGCCCTCATCTGTGACAGCTCACAAACGTGCCAATCGGCACTGGACAGATTAGCACTGGCTGTCCCTCACTTCGGGCTTTGCTTCGCACCCTCGAAGTGCAAAGCGTTCCTCCAAGATTGGTCTGGACCGCCCTCTACGCTGACCCTTGGTGGGAATCAGCTAGAAGTCGTTCAAAAGTTAAACTACCTGGGAAGTTGTATCGGCGCCCTTGGGATCGAAGATGAGATTACGAACCGGATAGCAAAAGCCCGATGCGCTTTTGTTAAGCTTTGCCACCTATGACGCCGGCACGACATCACTCTCGCCCTGAAGGGTAGTGTGTACAATACAGCCGTACGTTCGACCCTACTGTACGGCTGCGAAACCTGGCCCCTTAGATCAGCGGACATAAAGAGGCTAGTTTCGTTCGACCACCGGTGCCTTCGCAGTTTGGCTCACATCTGGTGGGAACACCGCGTGAGCAACGAGCGTGTTCGACGCCTGGTTTACGGCACAGTAAAAGGAAATGAACTGCTCAGCACTGTTATTTCACGCGCCAGGCTCCGATGGCTCTGCCACATGTTACGCATGTCGGTCCACCGACTCCCGCGACGTGCGTTGTTTGCGCGCCGGTGGTGTAGATGGATGAAGAGGAGAGGTGGCCAAGCGATGACTTAGTCGAGAGAAATGAAGGCCCTTACTTAGATGCTGGGCTCGGTTGGAACGTCTCGGCTTCCTGGTTGGGGTCTGAAGGGCGATGATCACGTTTGGCTGGATACACTGACATGACTAGGAGCCGACCACAATGGCCTACGTGCTGAGTTTTTTGTCCTTCCTTATCCCTCATAGTCTCCCACTCCAATCTGCGGCACAGTAGCTGAGGTGTGTTCCACCTTTAGCTAACGTGTACAATGATGATGATGAGGGACTAACCTGGTAGCAACGTGTTGGACCCGTTCGATCTTCTGTGCCTCGATTCGAGTGATTAGACAGACGGGGGGGTGGTTCGTACTCCAGTATTGGTCTTATGACGGAAGAAAGGAGGTGAGTGGCGAGCTCTTCAGATAAAGTACAAAAGTTGCGTTCGATCGAGCATAACATGCGTAGTCCGTTACGATATAGCCTATTCGTCGCAGTACACCTAGGTTCTTCACGGATGACGATCTTGCTATTCTAGCATCTTCGGATGAAAACCCGTGGAGACGCATGGGCGTTAGAGGGACCAAACAAGGGTAGTTGCAGAACCAATCCACACAGTGGAAACGTCTGTACGTAGCTCACTTTGTGACATTTGTGGTGGCTGTTATTTTAGTCCATGGTTAGATCGGTATGAGTGCGCTTTATGTAAACCAGTGCCTACAACTCGCGTGCACAGTTTCTGCTATCTTTTGTAGGCTGCATGGTATGCGGAACTGTTGAGTAGCTTGTGTGCAATGTGTGTGTGTGTGTGATACATCTTGAGTATCACAAATGTATCTTGGACATGCAGGAATCATTATTTTGGACTACGCATTAAGAGCAAAGGATTCACACAATATTTGCAAGACGATCTCCGCAATGAGTATTGATATGATGTAACCAAGCGGCTTAGGCTATACTTGTCCATATATCACAGCTGAATTTGAAGTAAGTTAAGGGCTCCAATGCGCACATTTGCATACACAAAACAATCAAATAGAAGTTTGAAAAATTGAAAGTATTAAACTAAAGCAGGAAGGAAGTATGAGGCCTCGTCACTCCGGTCATCCTACGGGACTTGACAAGCATTCGCTTTTTAACGGTAATAAATTAGTGTACATATTCAAAAAGTCTCTGTATGATGCACTCATGCAGTTACATAGGGCTATGTAGCTCACTAGGATGTAACGCCCCAAATCAATGTGCTCACTTTCACTTATTGCACTAAACTGTGCCATTGTGGAATACGCTTATGAGGTACTCACAGTGGAATTGCGTATCACATCGGCTGGAGAAAGTAACACATGAATAAGTGTGGCGATAGTTTTTGAACGATAATTTATTGTGCTTGTTTTAGTGTACCGAGTTAGTTAGTACAATCTCGAATTGGTTAATACGATTTCCATGTGCGCTCCCTGTGCGTCATTACTTCCATTCTGGGTTGGAGCCAAGCCTATGTCAACTTCGACTAGTCCGAGATAGGTCGATTTCGATTCCCTTTATTTCTTTCGATACGACAGTAAGCGTTTTTGTTACGGAGAGCCAGCGCACAAGCCGAGAAGCGTGGCGCAATAGCGGATCGAGCTACAAACGGAGATGGAACTCGAGTAATCAAAACGCGAATCTATGTAGGATCATCGGCAAGTTGGACCATGAACTAGAACCGTCTGAGTTGTGCTAATTAATATTAGTTAGCATCTTCAATATTGTTGTGGTAGTAGTAGTTGCGTACAACCTATTTATTGCGCTATGCTCTTATACAATACGAATCCAAATCCCTCGGTCCGCCTGGTCTCATTTCGTGCGGGGTTGAACTGGTTGGGGGCGGCACAGCAGATTCAGGCAGGTTATCCGTACTATCAGCTGCACCCAAAACAAATTTCTGGGGACGGTCAGCTGCATGGTAGCAGCAGGCTAGCAGTGCATTCAGCGGCAACTACAACATATTTCTGGGACATTATAACAGTTGCATTTTGCTGACAGAATACGCGGACTACAACTGCTCACCCCCCTGTTTCGTGTGCTTGCACTCAATTCCCTTCTCATACTACCGCCGTTATGCAGCAGTGCATCTAAAACGGTGGGCGTCTGAACTGATGATTCACATAGCTTGATTTCGTAATTTCCCTACAACTATGATTACGGACTTGGTTCTTTTTACCTGTGATAAACCATTGCTCATTGTGCAATTCTAAGAACTGTAAAATTACAAGGGTGAAAGCAGGGGGCAGAGTTGTCAGACAGTGCCTCGGATGTAGCAGCTAACCCATTTTGATATACGACGACCGGTGTTGTCGATTCAAAGCGTCCAGTAATGAAGACAGCAGGCATTAATCTGACCAAGCTTTGTGGCCGGTTTGTTCGGTATTTCATGTCATCCCATTTAGTAGGGCCACACACAAGTAAAGGCAGCAAAGGTAAATAATGTACGGGAGACAGTAGGCTACCTCCTCCCTTTAGGGCCAATGGAGACAAAGTATGGCGTTTGCTTGACAAACTACGGATCTCTTCTTGAGGACAAACGCGAGCCACCTGGTAATTTTATGCCAGCACATAAGCAGGTGAGGATAACAGATTACGGGGAAAATTTCAATCGTTCACTTGTCCAGCACTGACGAGATACAATGTGGGTTCCCAAAGTAAAGGAAAACCGCAACAGTTTGTATTGGGCTGTAAAAAAGGCCTCGTGGACATGAGGGCTCCGACATTGTTGAATATAGCCGACTGGAAGATCATTCCGGGTTACAAAGAATAGAACCACAATGTCACTCCCACGACCATCTCATCGGTGGGAGCATGTTTTGAGACTTAGCACTTGTACGTTTCGATCTCAGACGTGAATAAAGAATTCAACGACCTGATGGAAATTGGGTGTTGCATGCTCGAAAACGCGAATTGCGGTCCACATGCATATTGTGCGTCGCAATTCATTCACACAGTAAGTGCATCAAAAAGACCGCCCAGTCAGTGATTAACCGCTGCGATAAACGTTGCCTGCTATCTCTATCTGATGAGAGCAAACGAAAGCAGATACCCAATTTTCATCTGAGTCATCAGTCCAAGTGGTCAAACCGACCAAAGTTCATTTCAATGCGAATCACTGTCTAAATTGAAAATGCGTGTTGCAATCCAGACATGCGTATTTTAAAATGACTTCCCCACTAAACTATGGTAAAAGCCCTTTGCAGAATTCGCTGTATGGAAGAGATCAGCAAAAGGATGAAAATGAGTTCCCCTTTGAAGACATAAGTAGAGCGCATTAAAACAAGTAAACTTGAAAACTGTAATTTAAGCTATTTCAGTGGTTGACGGTTCATTGTAGACGAATACGTAAGGTAAGGTGGTCGCAAAAAGTTAGTCGCAGTCAATAATTTGGAAAAAATGGTACTGAGAGGAGGAATTCTAGTCGTATTTACACAAACATGTAGACTTAGTGACTTACCACATAATTTGTAGAAATGGATTGCGGAATCATAGGTGATCAAACCAATCTGCCGACGAGAATCGCCAGGCATTCGAAGCAAGTGTGTGGCTAAACGTTCGCACACAACATTTAAGTACCCAGTTGCAATTGCATTGCGGCTGACATCGAGGCAAAACAAATAAGTAGCTGACTGAGGTGGACGAAGCATATACTCTGGCGGGGCAATAAACTCCACTGTGGCCGAGCGGATCTCAGGACGCCGAGCCGGGTCCCCATAGGTCTGAGTTCCGGGGTCATAGAAAAAATCATCTGGTACGGAGTTGGACAAAAAACAGATGGGGCAACGCCAACGGCGGCCGGAGTCAACGAACTGAACAAACGGGTTGATGTAGGTACGGCAAGAACGACAGCGGACAATAACCGTAGAGTTGATGGTGTGCAAGCGCGACAAATCACGGAAAGGATGCATGACCAAGCCCAAGGGTAAACGGCACTGTGCGAGAAGTTTTGCAGTTGCAGGAAACCCTGGGAGCGTGCACCGCATAATATCGGGATCACAGTTAACCTGAAGAAATGAGCGGATAAGTGAGTCGAGTGATTCTTTATACTGGATTCTATGAGTAAGAAAAGGCGCTCAGGAGAAAAGAAAACCAGTGAAGTATGGTATCGCCAATTAAATAAATCAACCAATTAAACAATGTACGGCAACTAGACGTAGATTAGGGTAATCTCTTCTAATCGCGTTCACTAAGTGGCTACATTAGAGTTGCACACTAAAGAGCAAATACATCGCGAAAAGTTAGAGGGAATACATAACACGCCACCCGGCAACTATCCAATTAGCGTCAAAGAGGTAAACCACCGAGGTGCCAAAAACAGCACGGTCAACTAGCAAACATAGGTAAACGCCACTAGGTGACCTGTAAGCAGATATGAGCAATATGTCGGAGGTATTTGATGCCAAGTAGTAAGTGCCTATTGATAACATTATCGCGAAACGGGCTAGTACCCATTCATACAGTAATATCACAGTAGCTGCAGCGTTGTGTGAACTCACTACCATCACTCGACACATTTAGCTAGGGGCGAGGAACAACACCCAACCTATGGTGTCACAACAAATTCAACTAGATGATAGTAAATAAGGAACACGTTCATTGAGATTGGGATTGCAGGGGGATGCCAACCGGAAAGGGAAGACACACAAAAAATAAAGCACAAACGCCATTAGGATCGTCTCTGGGCCATGTCGGCATGTGTATTCAATCAAATGTGTTCATCGTCCTTCGGACCTCAAACAAGAAATCGAGAATTTCCCACTGAGGACATCTTTGAAATGAGGTGCTTCATTCCCCAAGACGAAGTCATTCGTTGTTCTCCTATATGTTTCTTTCGCCGAGAACCCCGTTGGGCGAACAACCGCGAGAGTCGGCGTGCTGGCATGTGCGAGTCATGGCTCAGCCGCTGGAGTCTGGCGCGTGAAACCAAGATGTTGAGCAGTTCACTTGCTCTTCCCGTGCCCCAAACAATACACCGTAGAGGCTAACTGCTCGTGCAGTGTTCCCGCCAGACATGAGCCAAACTTGGAAAACCCCCCGGTGTTCGAACAACAAACTTCTAAATGTCGATTTGTTGAGCTAGGTTTTGCAACAGTGCAGTAGAGTAGGAAGAACGGCTGCATTGCATACTGCACCCTAAGGAGCAAGAATGATATCGCGCCGACACCATAAGTGGCGAAAATTAGCAAGTTCCTTGGGCCGGTGTTATACACTTTGTGACCCTATCTTCCATTACACATGTGCTGTACAGCTGCCCAGGTAGTTACACTGCTGGACAACCTCTGGCTGATCAACCCCAAAGGGTCTTCGCAGGGAGTGCACTGCGAAAATTCTGAAAGAAAGCTTTGCAATTCGAGGGTGCGAAGCATAGACCGAAACGGTTGACAGTCAATGGGGATCTGTGTAGTGTTAATTGACTCGATGGTAAGTTGTCAGATGAGGGTAATATTTTCGGCATACTCAAGTCAATAGGTTGATCACCTTGAACCAACCATACTTTCCAAGCCGTGTCAGGTGAACGCATTTTCCATGACTTCGTCGACGGAGTTAGAAATGGGAAGATGACAGTGGGCGCCCTTTTATTATACCGCTGGGAATATTGAAGAGCTGCGAGAATTTGCCATAAGCCCGCACTATCTCCGCAATAACCATGTGAAGCGCTCTCACAACATTGATGCATTTAGCTGGTACGCGTTTCATAATCAGATAGTCCCAAAGAGCATATCAATTCAACGGATCGAAGGAACCATTGATGTCGGGGAACAGCATCAGGCCAGATCGCCAATACAAAGTAGAGTAGTGATCAATGCAGTCCAGATTTCGACGAAATTCAGCATGCACGTCACTAACGGTTTTTACGAGCGACAGTCAATCTGCGAAGAAAGACATCAGTAAACTAATGATAGCAAACGGATACATATATGAGTGCATTATTCTGAACGTGAGCCCCCCTTGAAACTTGGAACTATACCGGAGAAACTGCAGTCGGGTGAAAGAATATTTTTAAGATTTTCACTGCGGAACCACGCAAATCGTCTATAAGAGCTGGTCCCACGGATTTGAAGAGGGTTGAATGAAGCCCATCTGATCCGGCTGTTTTACAAGATTTCAATATTGCGATCAAGGTTGGACTCCTGTGTGGGGAGCATGGATCAAAAGACACAGACCGGGGAGCATAGCGATCACTGACCGGCAGCCAGTCTAGTGGTTCCGGTCGATTAAACTGATTTCCAAAGTATTCAGGGCAACGCTCCAAGTGTTTTGATAAGTCATGCAGAGCCTGCCATTCTCGACGCATATAGTATCGTTAACACTAAGTCATGACCTGATGAACATTTTCCGTATGACATGGAAAAAATAACGACAACTACCAAGCTCAGCAGCCGTTTCTGTCTCTGGCGCAGATTGAGGCGACCAGCCTTCACGATCGCCTCAGACTATCATGCAGTTTTGCTCTGAGACTTTTGTTATTCTCGTTCTGTCTGCCACCAGCCAGAATGTGTCGGCTGGAACCTAGTGGTTCCAGAGATTGCGTACAGAAGCATTGTCAAGACAGGCATGGGAGTTGACACATGAATAGATACCTGCGACGATTAAGGCTTGATGAACATGCGACTAGTCACCTACAACTGTGGGTGCTCACTCAACTGTGACAGGACCTACTTTGTTATGTATGTGCTCTCAGTGTAATCACTGAAGTCCGTCAAAAAGCGCCAGCAGACCAGCACACGCAAATGCATGGTCGGAGTTTACGCTTGTGCTCTAAATTGAGCGACCATTTTTGACGCATCCTCACAAGGTTAAACGATCGTTTTGCATTCATGGCTAGTAGGCACTATGTCGAAAGTTAGTGCCCACGAGAAACAGATTAGCATCCCCACACAAATGTAGCACCTACTCAACGTCAACATTACGGGAGCTTACCTCTAGATGCAGCTCATCAGTGGACAAGTTTTCAACCTGAGCGCTCAGATAATCAGTCAACACTACAGTGGTCGTAATCATTCTATGACAAAAGAGCGCGATAGGTTGAGGACAGAAGGCATCCTCCACCGAGTCAGTGCTCCTGTTTGTGGCGGCGTGGGCAGAATCACCTACTGTCCACGTGAGACTCCAATGCTTCGAACGAGCAAGCCCATCTGATGGTGTACGTGCAGGTACTGGCTGGGAATCAGGCGTTCAGGGCAGCACCAGGCCTGGAGTTGGGAGCAACACGTACATCGTCTCGAAGGGCATTTGAAGCTGTAGCAGCTCATCGTAGGCCCAATGATAAACTATTACTTGTGTCATGTGATGGTGACCGTAGAGTGCGCATGGACCACCGAACCAATTACCGAATAAGATCAATCAAGAACTGCATTTAACACAGTCACAATTGGAGTGCAATTGCAATTAAACGCTCAATCCACTGTAACGGAACGGAAATCTAACGTGCTGTAATGGCCTGTGTACCTCCATGGTATAACGAGATAAGCTAGGTGCACTTTCAAAGTGCCTGCAAAGCCAATCCCACCTGAATAGGTCAATCGTTAGGGGTTAGACGAACTTAGTTTCAGCACCCCTTCGTTTGAAGTTGTGGATAGTTCTATTGTCCTCTAACAAGCCTAGCTAACGGAGGCAAAGATTTGTGGGCTATGAGTCCAGTTCGATTTGCGCAGAGGATGAGCACTAGTGGTAGTAGTATAAGAAGCAGTCTATTGGATAGACACAGAGGCAAAAGATGAGCACACATCATCATCCATATACAAGTCAGCTAGAGGTGGGAACCACCTCAGCTACTGTGCCGCAATATATAAAAGAAAAAAGAGAAAAATTGCGACTGGTGCAAGCCAGCTGAGCTACCGATAATGGATGGGCATCGTTTCGGCAAGCTACAAGACGGCTACTATGCAGCAAAAAATCACTATACATAATTACATAAGGCTGAAAAGCGAGATCGTGGTTGGAGGAGGAGGTAAAGAAGGATGGGGTGGCACGAAAAAACACAATACGAACACCATTGAGGTCAGCTCCCAGCCATATAAGCAAGTGTATCCAGCCAAACGTGTTCATCGTATTTCGAACCCCAACCAGGGAACCGAGACGCTCCAAGTGAACCCAAAGTTGAAGGGCCTTCATTCCCTTGACCAAGTCATCGTTTAGTCACTCCTCCTCTTCACCCATTTACACCATCGGCGCAAACAACGCACGTCGCGGAAGTCGGTGGGCCGGCATGCGTAACATGTGGCAGAGCCACACGTGAAATAACGGTGCTGAGCAGTTCATTTCCTTTTCCTGTGCCGTAAACAAAGCGTCGAACACGCTCATTGCTCACACGGTGTTCCCACCAGATGTGAGCCAAACTGCGAAGGCACCGGTGGTCGAACGTAACTAGCCTCTTTATGTCCACTGATCTAAGGGGCCAAGATTCACAGCCCTACAGTAGGGTCGAACGTACCGCTGAATTGTACACGCTACCCTTCAGGTGTCATAGGTGGCAAAGGTTAACAAAAGCGCTCCGAGCTTTTGCTATGGGGCTCGTGATCTCATCTTCGATCCCACGGGCGCTGATACAAGTTCCAAGGTAGTTTAACTACTGAACGACTTCTAGCTGATCCCCAACAAGAGTCAGCGTAGGAGGCGCTTCAGGCCAATCTCGGAGGAACGCTTTGCACTTCGATGGCGCAAAGCGAAGCCCGAAGTGAAGGACAGCCAGTGCTAATCTGTACAGTGCCGCTTGGCACGAGTTTGTGAGCTGTCACAGATGAGGGCAATATGGTCAGCATACTCCAAGTCAAGAAGTCGTTCTCCTGGGAGCACATCCACACTAGCTAAGTCGTGTCCTGTAAACGCGATTTCCATGACTTCGTCAATAGGGAAGTTGAAGAGGAAAGGTGACAATGGGCATCCTTGTCTCACACCGCTGGAGATATTAAAGGGCGACAACAGCTTGCTGTAAGCCCTCACTCTGCCCAAGCTACGCGCGTATAAGGCTAGGATGATATTTACATATTTCTCACGTACACCT